CACCTGCCATTACCCATAGTTACAAAAATTTCTGAGTCCTTTAAGATCTACTCTCTTAGTGACTTTCAAATATGCCATACAGTTTTATTAACCGTTGTCACCAGGCTGAATGTTACATCCCACCGGTTTATTTATTTTATCACTGGAAATTTGTACCTTTTGCTTCCCTTTACCCATTTCACCCATGCTCCTACTCCCTACCTCTGGCAACCACCAAACTGTCCTCTGTATCTATGGCCTGGGGTTCGGTGGTTTTTTACCCTTTCTACATCAAATAGTACTTTTCTTTCTCTGTAATAACTTATTTCACTTAGCTTAATTCTCTCAAGGTTCATCCGTGTTGTCTCAAGTTGGCAAGACTTTTGTGTGTGTGTGTGCACATTTTCTTTATACTTTCATCCTTTGATAGGTCAATTCTGTATCTTGGCCACTGTAAAAATTGTTACAGTGGACATTAGAGTATATATATTTTTTTGAGTTAATGTTTTTATTTCTTTGGATTAATCCCCAGAAGTAGACTTGTTGGTCATATAGTAATTACATTCTTAATTTTGGGTAGAAGCTCCATAATAGTTTTCACGGTGGCTGCATAGATTTACATATCTACCTGCAATGCACAAGAGTTCCCTTTTCTCCAAATCCTTGCCAACCATTTGTTAATCTTGTCTTTTTAATAACGGACATCCTAAGAGGTGTGAGGCGATACCTCATTGTGATTTTGATTTGTATTTCCCTGATGATTAGTGATGTGAGCACCTTTTCATGTGCCTATTGACCACCTGTTTATCTTCTTTGGAAAATGCCTACTCAGATCCTCTGCCAGTTTTTTTTTTTAAAGATTTATTTATTTGTTCATACAGAACTGGGGTACAGGCCAGAGGCTCAGGGCCGGCGAGAAGATTCACCAGAGACAGAGTGGGGAACAGAACAGGCATATCGATGAAGTACACTGCTGAGGGGAGCAGTGGGCAGGTCAGGAGAGGTCTGCCACGCCATGTGGCTCACCTCCAGGGCAGTGGATCAAACTCACACTAAAGCAGCTGTAGCTAACTTGCAGTGCTGCGTCCTAACCCATTGTGCCACCAGAGAGGGCCCACTTTGCTTGTTTTCTGTGACTCACAGTCTCATGTTTTTTCTCCTCCTGCTGGCTTCTCAGCCTCCTACTAAGGCTCCAGTGCCTCTGTTTATTCCCCACAAGTCTTCAGATTTCTGTCTAGAGCGGCCATCCTCATCTTACTTCCCCCCTTCTCTGTAAGCCAAGGTGTAGAACCCTTTCCGCTCACATTCTTTCCATACCCTTATCTTCACCACAGGCATCGTTCCCGTCTCTGTTCACATTCCCCCTCCATGGACACCCAATTGCTCGTTTGCATCTGCCAAAAATCCAACTTTCACCCACGATTCCTTTTCCTCATTCACCTGCCACATTCAGTAAGTAACTATTAATATTTTCTTCTGAATATTTCTGGAATCCATTGTTTCTTTCCTTCACTACTTTCCTATTCTCGTCACCATTGTACTATGGAGATCATTACAACAATTTCTTAACTGTCTTCCCTGCATCCAAATGATCTTTCTAGAGCACATTCTCTCTTTTGCTCTAGGCGTACAGATTTTATTAAGTCATCCTGAACATCTCAACTTTTCCAGCTCTCCTCTGTACGACACCCTAACTACTGCCAAAATACATATACACACAAAAGCATGCACACACCCTGTCTTTCTACTTTCCTGGCTTGTGCCTATTCAACCATTAGGCCCCGGATTACTAATAATTTAATTTAACCACTAAATTGTACTTTCCTTAGGGCAGATATTATGCCCTATTGAAGACCTCATGCCTGCCAAAACACCTGGTGCTTACTGATTTTCACATCTCTTATAATCTGCATTGCCCAATGCCATACTAAAAGTTGAAAAAGTGAAAAATTCACTTAAACTGGTTGTTCAGATGTAAACAATCTCTGTGATGAATCATCTCTGTGAATATGAGTTAAAATATGGTTCATTTGTAAGTGTAAGATAACTGGTCTGCTATAGAACTCAAGTTGGAAATCTTGCTTGTAATTCTTTCTTGACTTGTAGATTTTTTTTTTCTCAGTGTTCTGTTACCATAATGAGCATTTTGATGGTTTTTTTTAATTGGTATATTTGCACCAAGTCCCAAATTAGGAGAAAGTGAGCAGGAGGAAATTCCAGAGAAGTCAGTAATGAAGGGTACATTTCCAAGAGGGGGACAGGAGGAGGACTCATCACAGCACCAAGATATGAAAGGTGAAGAACAGGAGTTGACCTTGGAGCCTGAGGAAATTGTGAGGCTTAGAGAAGAACTGAGCCGTATGAATCAGAAACTCCTTCAGTCTCAGAGCTCTGGGGATAGTTCAGATGACAGTAGTGCCCAGGTAGGTGCTATGAACACGTGCTCTCACCTGCCCATTTCCTCTGATCATCACATAAGCATGATTTTTTTATTAGCATAAACATGTATTTGTTGACCAATATCATGACCAGGTCCCAGTTAGTAATACAATAGCAACCAAAATCTTAACTAAGCCTTTCACTGGATGAGAATCTTGAAAGCCAGTAATCCTTAACTCTTTCCACAATAGGAATGATTTTATCATTGGAACTAGTATATACGCTTAATTTAAAATATAGTTTTAATAAAATAATACAAAGTATTAATAGTAGGTTTTAATTCTATAAAATTAAGGTAATTAATGCTGCTTTTCAACTTGTTTTATTGATTGATTCTTAAGAATAATAAATTCCTTAAGATAGATGTTAGACATGATCTGGTCTTAGGTTAGGAGTAAATAGACTAAGAGAGGGTAATTGCCTTAAGAAAGACCCCTATGTATTTTACACTCTTACATGGTTCTTAGTAGCCTGAATGAGCCTCTTCGACAACTTTCAACTGGGGAAGTAATTTACACAGTGGGAAAAATTAGAGATTCTTTATGTTGACTGGGTGACTGGTAGCTTCTTTGATAGTGACCTTTCTTAAAAAACAGCTTGCATTTCTGCTCTGGCAATGTGACTTGCCTAGAACATGTAGACTGACAGAACTACTGTTCTGGCTTTTCTCATCTTCAAAGTAAGCTAAAAATGTCTGTGTCTTATCCCATTGGTTTAAATAGAGTTCTTCCCTTGTATATTTCTGTTTTGGTAAGCTAAGTGATCACACAGGTTACTGATGAGTACTTAATTGTTAAAAACTGCAGCATAATGGTTAGATAAGAAGCTATAAAGGGGTGATCCAAGGCTGCAGGAGAGCCTTTGTTTTTGGATGACAGAAGAGGGCAGTTAAAGAAAAAGACAGGTGGCATGAATTGTAATAGATAATGTTATGGAGTGTTCAATATATGCTAACATTGCATTTTTTATCTTAGTTACCCTTTTACCCCATCCAAGTGTTATCATTACTATTCCTCCTTTAAAAGGAAGAAAAGAAGAAGTAAAAAAACTAAATAATTTTTCCAACATCACCCAATTAGTAGTGATAGATTCTTGATTGAATCCCAAATGTACCTAACTCCAAAACTCTAGGATTCTTAATAGCTGCATTAAAATTCCATTACAGAACATTCTCTAGGAATCTTAGACACTTGCAGCTCTCAGACAAGCAAATTGGATTTAGATTGTCTTTCTGACAAAACTGATAGAAATGGAAGGGCTGGAAGGACTTGGTGAATTCTGTATTGCTTCAGAGACATATGCAAGATGTAACTTATGACATGGGATTCTCAGAAAGTTGTGGGAGGAAGCAGGAGCTTCTAAGTCTATTTTATATATTTAATTGGATCAAGTTGAATTATTTAACTACTCGGTATAGCAGTGTGCCTACCTTTTCTTGAAAATCCAAATAACTACTCTTGGCTAAGGTAGTTTCATTGTAGAAGAGAGAATTCATAGGAGAATATGTTGGTGTTGAGTAGTAACTGAAGAATTATCATAAGATAGTAAAAAGGAAAGCGATGAGGAAGGCTGGGAATGTAAGATCTCATGCTGATTTTTCTCTTTCCTCTCGCTAACAGCCAAGCCCTGCCCCACACACACACATCTTCACACACTACTTTTACATATATACTTATACTTTTACATATATTGACTCTTTGATGATACCACTAAAATGTATCTTACTCTAAAATTGCCCATTAAGAAAGGGAAATTCTGTTTCCTTTCACTGATTTCAAAAACAAGAAATTGTCTATGCTTAACTGCTTCGGTCATATAATTTCCATGACATTTTCAATTTAATATAATAGAAGTTAAATTATATGAACACATACTAACTCCCCATAAATGTGAATGTATTTCATTTTAGGTAAACTATCTCTAAAATATCTATCTGTTATCTACCCAAAAGATACAAAAACACTGATTCAAGAAGATACTTGCACCCCATGTTTATTGCTGCTTTATTTACAATTGGAAAGACATGGGAACAACCCAGATCCCCACAAGTGGATGACTGGATTAAAAAGATGTGGTACATATACAATGGAATATTACTCAGCAACAACAACAAAAAATAATTAAACACATGCCTTTTGCAACATGGATGGAACTGGAAACAATCATGCTTAGTGAAATAACCCAGAAAGAAAAGGAAAAATACCGGATGGTTTCTCTCATAGCAGGAATATAACAGAACAGGCGAGAAAATAATGATAATGATGAACAGCTATATACCAGAGACATTTTGTGGAGGTGGAGTGGGGAATGGGATCAAAAACAGTGGGGGGAGGGAAATGCACTGGACTATGGTGATGGCACACTGGCGATTTGATTATGGGAAGCCCACGGGGGTTGCAACTGAGATGGAAAAAGGCACAGAATGATGTAAAATTAAACTATTATATTATTTTTAAAAATTTAAAATAAAATATTTACCTGTGAATAATCGCATTCTGACAATTCAGGTCTACTATCTGGGACCTGTTTTATCAATAGTCTTTCTCATTGGCCACATTTCTCTTTTAAAACATTTACTCTAGTATCAGTTATCTGGAGAAATACTGAAATACCACCAGCAAGAGGAACCACAGCTTCGTCAGAATTTGCACCGACTCCAGATTCTGTGCAGTTCAGCTGAAAAAGAGCTTCGATATGAAAGAGGAAAGAACTTGGACTTAAAGCAACATAATAGCTTACTTCAAGATGAAAACATTAAGGTAACTCTAGTGGGCACATTTTTCATTGAAGGATCTCAGTTGCCCAGACAGCCCTGTGGCTTAACGAATCAAAATTCCTCCACTTTATAATTCATGAAATGATCCACAGATGGGCGGATAGTGTCAACTCTGATAACTCAACTCCTTTCACTCTCCCCTACCAACTAGTCACACAGCTCAGTTGTCCCTCTGCTGCTAAAACGGATGTGTGTGTTGTAAACCTATGAATAAAAGTCTTAAAATTATACACAGTTGAATGCTAAAATTTCAAGCATTTATTAAATTTCAGTGACTGAAGCCCAAACCCTGGTGGTCCTGCCCTAGTTCAATCGTTAGACTTCTCTACCCCCTAATAGATAGATCCATTAATACTGACTGAATGAAATAAGTGCACCTGGTATAATTCATAGGTGGGAAAATTATTTTTTCTGCTGTAAGAATATCAATAAGTTAGGGGACATACCGCAAGCATACTTGCTTTAAAATAACTTATATAACACTGCCATCCACAGATTCATTTAAATTTTAAGAACCACACAATTGTTTAACTGAACTAATGTATAAAATAGCACTTTCCTTTCATTGTGGTTTAATTTTGTGTGTGCATATATGTGTGTGTGTTAGAAATCTAGTAAGTCCCAAACATTGAACAAATAATAAATGAGCACAGTTAAACATCAGGCAGGCAACCTTGTAGATACTGAGGATTTAAGGGGAGGCAAGACATCCCAGCCTCAACCCCAAGGTGCGGGCCAAGTGTCAGCATGAGCTGAATTGGCCCTGGTGGAAGAGGAAGACACAGGGATGACTCTGAAATCACTGGCCTAGGCAGAAGGTTGGACACTGGCATTACCTACTGAAATCAGGAAGGCTGGAGAAAAATTATTTTGAAGATATGAACAGTATCAGGGAGTTTTGTTTCAGCAGCTCTTAGTGAAAGATGGTATTTTAAGTCTTGAGAATGAATCTAGAGGGAGAATGATTCATTCCTAAGGACTAGGATTGTCTGGTTAATATTTAGAGATTGGGTAGCTTTAGAACATTCTAAAAATGGAGACCAAGAAGAAATAACAGTGAATTAAGTGAAAATCAAGAGGGCATCACAGCCCCCAAGAGAACTTTCTGAAAGAGAAGGAATGGATGCTATGGAGAAGTCAGATTTTCCATTGGTTTTCCATTGGCAACAGGGAGGCTAGTAGTGTCCTTGGTGAAAACAGTTTCATGGAGCAGTGGGACAAAAGCCAGCTTGGAGTGGATTGAAATAATGAGTGAAAAATGTTTCGAATGTGCATTATAGAAACTCCTAAGAAAATTCTTTTGTCCAGCTGCCATCTAGCTAGACCGACTTTGGCAAGCCTTGCTAACACACAGCAGTGCCAGAGAGGTAATCAGACATGTGACGTTGCTTCTGGCCAGCGCTCTCGGGATTGTGCTTCTCTGAAGGCTGTTTATTCTGGCTTATAATCACATTTGTGATTTATCTTTATCTTCATCACTCTTGTTTATTCCCCACCTCTAGATCAAAACTGAACTAAAGCAGGCCCAGCAGAAGTTATTAGACAGTGCAAAGATGTGCTCTTCACTCACAGCAGAGTGGAAGCACTGTCAGCAGAAAATCAAGGAGCTGGAGTTCGAAGTACTTACCCAGGCTCAGAGCATTAAATCACAGAACAGCCTACAGGAAAAGCTGGCTCAGGAGAAATCCAAAGTTGCTGATGCGGAAGAAAAGGTAATTATCCTCATGCTTAATAAATAGCAGGCACTACTGAAATCCTTTCCCTATGGGCTTTAAGAAATAGATATGGTACACACTTGATCGAATTCTAGGGTTTTTGTTTACTCTCCCATTTTTGACTTCACCTGCTCCTATAGTTCTGGTAACTTGAGTCTTTTTTTTTAAAGTAGGTGTAGTTAAACAGGTAAATTACAAGATGAACTTAAAGCACGGAGTTTTGTTTTATACTTTAAAATTTTGAAAGAATCTCTTTTTGTTTGTATTGGCTATTGAGAAGATTTTTATTTGCTGTTTTTTGTAGGGTAGTGTTGTGAAATGCCCCTGTGTTTTAGATTTCTTAACACCAGGTGGCAGTAGTATGCAGCAGTTGAGCATTTTAATCTGTGAGTCTTAGTCAAATCTTTACATAAAAATTAAGTCATTTCCTCAAATCATGTAAAGAGTAAACAGATTATAAAAAGTAAATGACAGCCACTGAATTAAACCTAAAAGCCGTATGTTGAGGTGAGGAAGTCAGCACAAAAGAATCTATTTGTCACTTCATTCACATCAGAATAGACAAAGCTAAACTATAGGTTGTCTTTATGAGAGGTAGTAAGTGGGAGGGGATATAAAACTATCTTCTATGGTATTGGAAATGTTCTATTTCTTGGTATTGGAGGCGGTTATATAAGTAACACTTCACTGTGTTATGTCCACTTTACATATGTATGTTGTTATTCCATTAAAAAGTAATTAATAAAGTGATAAAACATTTCATTTAAATGATAATAAGTATTGGTGAGCATTTTTTCAATATAAATACATATATATTTACTGCAGTTGAAGGAGTAAATTAGTATAAACATTTTACATGGCAATTTGGCATTGATACATAGTTAAATTAAAGGTGTATATATAATACAACCAACACTTACACCGCTAGGTATAAACACTAGAGAAACTGTCATATTATACATGTGTATCAAGGAACAGGCATACAATTATGCTTATAGTAATAGTGTTCCAAATACAAGAAAATTGGAAAAAAACAAAATGTTCACTAACATGAGGAATAATTGTGTATTTACATAATAGCACACAACAATGAAAATGCATGAACTCCAAGTAGTTCAGTGCAATATTGAATAAAAGCAAAGTCACTACAAACAGCACAATCCATTGATATAGAGGTCAAAATAGTGAAAAATAAAAGGAGTAAGAGTGCCCAGTGGCCTAGGGTAAAGGACTATGGGTGCTTGAATGGTGGAGTATGGTGGTCACCTGAGGAGGTCTGAACCTATTCCACTAAATCATTACAGCGTTGTAAACCAATGTTACCACAGGAGAGAATGAGCTAATTATTAATTGATTAGCTCTGGCTCTTCCCTTTTGACTACATTTGTATGTAAGCACTACTATGTTTGTCCTGCCTCTGACATTTAGTTGGAAAAATGCTCACTCTTCTTAAAATTTTATTTGGAAACTTGTTTAAGATTTTAGATCTGCAACAGAAATTAGAACAAGTTCAAAAAGTTCATCTCCCAGAACCTTGTATTTTGGAGAAGCAGCAACTAGAGGAAAGGCTAAAGGAATCAAGAGAAAATGAAGCTAAAATAAAGCAGCAGTATCAGAAAGAACAAGAGAAGAGGTAAGGGGAGCAAAGACACCAGTTCCCATGACTGCATTTACGCTGTGCTTCCTCTGCCCCCATAAGTAAACTTACACAGCTGCTAGATGCAGTGCTGATCTCACAGTGCATTCGAGTTGTCTATTTGCCTTTCACAGTGGAGTGTGGCATTCTTACGGGTGAGACTATTTCTCTTTCTGGTACTCCTGGGTACATTTTCTTGAATGACTGGATTGTCTGTGGATTAGGATCCTCCGAGGTTTTGTTTTTCTATCTCTAACATGACTGGCACAAGATGCATACTAGGATAAAGTTTGTGTTTTGTGTTTATTGACTGACTTTCTTCAAAGAAGTTGCAAGTACTCTATAGTCATCTTCATCATCAACAAACTGCTACCAAATAGGAGGTCATTTTCCCCCTGCAAATTATGGTATTTTTAGGAGGTTTACTTAAATGGTCTACCTGAATGCCCTGATAAGAAGTAACTAATATTTCTTATTTCTATAGCTCTTAAAATGATATATATATATATATATTTATAAATTTTTTTAATGTGGTTTTAAAATCACTGAAGAGGGGCCTCCCTGGTGGCACAAGGGTTTTAAGTCTTAGCACTATGAAGCTATGCACAGCCATTACAGCACAAGTTCCATCCCTGACTGGTGCCAGGGAGGTGACCCACATGGCACAGCAGACTTCTTCTGTCTATCCAGCTGCTCCCCTCAGCAGTATATTTCAGTAGAGCTGCCTGTTCTGCTCCTCACTCTGGTGAATCCTCTCACCACCCCTGCACCTCTGGCCTGTACCTCAGCTCTTTGTGTACATCAATAAATTTTTTTAAAAATAAATAAAGTCACTGAAGAGATAAGAAACATTCATATACACTGTGAAGCTCAGAAACCTTAGCTCCAGTTAAAAAGCTCTAGTATAGGGTCTGACACTTAACAGATACTCAGTAAATATTTAGCAAATGAATGAACATTTGAGTAAGCGTATGAATGAATAATGGATTCCCTCAGTGAGGTACAGTGGAAAAATACTTGCCTCACTCTCACTTCTAGCAGGTTGGCAGAGTATCTACAATATAACTAGATCCTGAATAAACTAGAATAAGCCTACCTTTTATTGCATGGCTCACGAAGTAAGAAAAAGCCCTAAAGGCAAAGACACAATGAGGTAAAACACAAAAACGATGAATGGTGAACAAACTTCTCAAAGAGTACAGGACAATAATAGCTCTGAGTTCAGCAGAAATAGCTAGAAGTTTGCCACAAGGTAGGATAGCTAGCTAGAGAAGGCAATATTAAACTGGACTCTTGACAGAACTAAAGTGTTCCCTGTGGGCAGCCCCTTGGCTTCCCCGCTGAGAAAATCCAAATTATGGAATAAAACAACTTCAAATTAAGGATTCCCATGTGTTAAGTCTTATCAAAGTTTTTACAACATTCTCCAAATAACAACACAAGGGAACTGGTGTTACCATGAATGAAAGTCAGCAGAAATAAGATATGCCAGATTTATAGTCCCTAAGAATGTCAGCAATCGGAAGTGTGAAGACTAGATTGCAAGACAACTATATAAATTATAAAGAAACAAAAGGTGTAATTAAAGAATTGAACAGGAAAAGGGCAATTTAACTTTCCTGGAACTTGGCTTCTTATCTCCAAAGTGGGAATAGTAAAACCATGTCTTTACAACTTTGTGAAGATTTGCTGAAAATAAATATGTAGTAGTTTATAAACTGAGTATAAGGAAATGAAATTTGTGAAGGTTCTTTTCCACAAAAGGAGGCCACATATAGTGTACATTGTGTTGTAAGTTGGGGTGAAAAACCCCAATTTAGCTATTTAGATTTAACCTACCTTTTCCACTTACAATATTATGATGTGTTTACCAGCCTTTAAAACTTCTAAAACATTATTTTAATAATATACCCTGATTTATTCATTCAATTTTTATTATTGGGTATTTACATTTTCCCCCGTTTCTTGCTATACTGACAACAGATGCATTTCCTTATAGTCAATTTTTGTGCACACCCTTAGGGTATTTATCCTTGGGGAAAATTCAAGCAACTGCAATTATAATTACAACTGGTCATTATGAAATTTCCATTACAGAAATAGAGATATGTACAATGAATGGCATGAGTTGTTAAACATTTGATCCTTTAGCAATAACCATTTTAAGTTGTTACATATTTCTCAGATTTGTTAAATTATTTATTTTTTATTTTTTGATTTTATTATTTTGCACACATTTTTTATTATTGTCGTTAACAAAAATTGAACCATTTTAAATGATTGCTTTGCGATTTGCTTTTTTTGCCTAACAATAGAACATGGGCAAATATTAGCCACTTGGTTGCATAAATCCTGGCAGATTTCTTATCCTCTCAGTATCCATACCTACTTCACAAGATCCTTGTAAGGATTAAATGAATCAGAAGCAGTTGACTTATATCACTTTCATAAAAATACATGTAATTCAAAATACACTAAAGTTTCTCTTGAGACTTTCGTGATTTGTGTAGTGTTTTTTAATCTGCAAATATTTTGGGACTTTTTGTAGTAAACACCTATATCAGTTAGGTTCAATCAGAGATATAGAATCAGTGATAGAATCAGTGATGTTGGAAGAGAAGTAGTGTCAGTTTCTTCCTTAAATGTTTCATAGACTTCACCAGTGAAACTATCTGAGCTTGGTACTTTATTTCATAGGTAATTAAATATTGATTGAATTTATTGAATAGATTAAGTTCATTTATTGAATAGTTCAGATTATCTGTTTCTCCTTGTGTGAGTTTTAGTAGATTATACCTGTCAAGCAATGAGTCTATTCATCCAGTTATCTGATTTGTGGGCACAGAATTGCTCATAATATTCCTTTATTGTCTTTTTAAATCCATGAGATCAAAAGTGATGATCCCGCTTTCATTTCTGATAGTATTAATTTGTTTCTTCTCTGTTTCTTGGCTAACCTGGCTAATGTATTTATCAATTTTATTAATCTTTTCCAAGAACCAGCTTTAGCTTCATCTACTGTTTCCCTGTTTTCAGTTTCATTGATCTCTGCTCTATTTTTAATTTCTTTCTTGGGTTTTATTTAGGCTTCCATGGATCTTCCTTCTACAGTTTCCTAAGACAGACGTGTAGAGTAATTAGTTCTGCTTTCTTCTTCTAGAATATTTGCAATTAAAGCCATGTTCTCGCTGAGCACTGCTTCTGTTGCATCTCACAGCTTATATAGTTTGTGTTTTCACTTTCATGAAAATACATGTAGTTCAGAATACACAAAAGTCTCTTGAGACTTTTGTGATGTGTGTAGTGTATATGTTTATTTAATCTGCAAATATTTTGGGACTTCTGTCTGATTCATAATTTCATAACATTATTATAAGCAATAATGTAGCATGCTGTTACATAGCTATAACATGTTAATATAATGTGTTGTTTAGGTATTTTTGTTGTTATAAATAATGCTATAATTAATATGCTTGTACAGAAGAGTTTGCAACCGCAGTGAGGTATAATGTGTTACACTTGGGAAGGTTTAGGATAGTGTGACAGTACATACTTGGAACACCTAATCAGATTGAACAAGATCTGAAAACCTCCCTCAAAGAAAGCGGCTTACTCTGAGAGTAAAGTTGTTGGTATAGGAAAGTTAAGTAGAGAACATTCATCAAAGGAAGGCTGGAGGAAGAAGATACGGAAAAGGTTGGAGTTGCAGTGGAAGACAAAGCGTGGAGGCTAAGTTGTTTCAGGGAATGGAAAAGTTCAAGTCGCAAAATATTTCCAGATGAAATATTTGGGAATAAAGGAAATGGCACAAAAATGAGGCTAGACAGATAAGGTAGCTATCAAGTTATAGTAAAGACTTTGGGTCTCAAAAGTAATGGGAACAACTGAGGATTTTAAGCAGAGAGAAAAATGTGATTACATTGTGACTTAGAGGGAGCATTCTGGTTACTATGCAAAGAATAGTTTAAAAGAAAGGTTAGGGAGTCGTATCAACTTACCAGTTGCAGCACATGTTTGTTAGTTTTTCATTGTTCAAACCCCATAGGTGGTAAAGGAATTAATGTCCAACAAATTCATTGGTTTCTTTTCAAATTTTGACTTCCATTTTCCATATCAGTCTCCAACTCCTAAAATCTTTTTTTCTTTTAAAGATTTATTTATTTATGCATTCAGAACTGGGATACAGGCCAGAGGTGCAGGGATTCACCAGAGTCAAGTGCAGAGCAGAACAGGCAGATCCACGAAGTACAATGCTGAGGGGAGCAGCGGACGAGACTGGGGAGGTCTGCTGCACCATGTGGGTCACCTCCTGAAGTTGCACTGAAGCTGCTTCAGCTTGCTTGCAATGCTGCATCCTAACCCTTTGCGTCACCCAACTCCCAAATTCTAATTCAGATAACTCAAGTTCTTTAGTTCTAGCAAGTTTAAAATCCCTTTTCAATTTCAAGGTTTAGGTCATAGTCTAGTTCTTTGACCAGAAGCTCAGAACGAGCCAAAAAAGAATTGCTCAGATATCAAGGAATTGCTCAGATACATAGTGAGTTAGATGAACTAGAGATGAGAGGGATGTTGATGCAGTGTGGGTTTGAAACATTGAAGGCAAATTCTTTAGACACCCTGCTTTTATACCCAGAAACTTGAGAATTTGTAAGGCTTGAGAGATTATGAACCCCATGTCTGAAATATAAATCTTTCCCAGTAATTCATTGATTTCTCAGAAAATTGGAGTTAATTAAAGCAAACTTAATTGTCCACTATCATCATTTTATTGACCCAGCATATAGGTGAGAACATTGTCCACCAGTACTGTTATCATCCTCATACTCTCCTAGATAGTTTTCCTAAGTCCAAAGAACCTTATCTGTATTCTTGCTAAACTTGTTTCACAAACTATAGTATGATGAGTCTCTCTCTAAAAGAGTTAAGCATTTCAGGCTCTTTTGGAAAAGGGTAAACTTCCTCATCAAACACAGGTTCACTTGTGACGCTGTTACAGCAGTGTTATTACATAAATATACAATAGAGTTTTGAACCAAGTTTTGAACCTGTATTGAACCAAGAAGGTCAAAGGACTCAACTTTAAAGTTGTGAGGACAAGTAGAAGGAATGTGAGTTTGTGGATTAGAGCTCTACCTCCATTTGGTACTGGTTGTTTGACTTGAGCAAATTAGTTGAACTTCTCTGTAGTGCAGCTTTCTTGATGAAATAAGGGAAGTTATTTTTTTTCTCATCTTTTGAAAAATGAGAGTAAACCATGAAAAACTGTCACAAAAGAGGTTCTCTCTGTTGTTCCCTTTAATTTATGGCCATATAACCTACCTCATTGAACAACAACAAAAATCTTCTGTGATGATACAACAATTTTAGGTCAAAGAGTTACATCTACAAATCTTTGTAACTGACAGTGAGATCTAATGCACATCATTGCCCTCAGGAATATTCTCGATCAGAGCATAAATGAGCTACAAAAGCAAGTGAGTATTTTACTGGATAAAGAGAACAGACTGGAAACAACCAATTCTCAGCAACAATCCAGAATTCAGCAACAAGAAGTCCAACTTAAACAACTGGAAAGCGAAAAAGGAAAACATGATGAGGTAAGAAAGGACATAGAGGTACTTCTAAGTTTTGCTGTAGACCATAAACCCATAGACCCAAGTAATAATTGGGTTGATAAAAACTAATAATTTCTGAGTATCTAATATTTTATCCATGAAGGTTAGTCAAGGTTCAAGTGGGAAAACAGAATCTGTTCTATGTAGATCACGCAAACTCTTGGAAGGAAGAAGTAAGAGTGGATAGAAAGAGACACGTAGATGGAGTTGCGGGTCAACTGGTGGATATGTTTTTAATATTTTGAGAAGGCTTCGTAATATTTTCCGTAGGGGCTGCATCAGTCTACTTTCCCACAGACAATGTAGAAGAGATCCTTTCCCCCATACCCTAGGCAGTATTTCTTGTCCATGTTTTTGCTTTTGTTTTTTAATATGGGTCATTTGTATATGTATGAGGTCTGTGGTTTTTTTTTTTTTTAAGGTAATTTATTTATGCATTCAAGAACTGGGGGTGAGAGGGTTCACCAGAGAGAGTGGGGAGCAGACCAGGTACAATGACTGAAACATACTGCTGAGGGGAGCAGCGGACAGGACAGGTGAGGTCTGCTGTGCTATATGGGTCAGCTCCCTGGAAGTGGCTGCAGATAACTTCATAGTGCTGCACTTTAACCTCTTTCACCACCAGGGAGGGCTTCGCTGTGGTTTTGACTTGCTGGTCCCTGCTGATAAGTGATGATAAGCATTTTTTTTTTCATGTGCCTATAGGCTATGTGTATCTCTTCTTTGGAGAAATGTCAATTTAGTTCTGTTCTCCATTTTTTGCTTGGGTTATTTGTTTTCTTCTTGTTGAGTTGTATGCATTTTTTGTAGATCTTAGATAGTACGCCCTTGTCAGATAAATGATATGCATGTATTTTCTTCCAATAGGTGGAATTTCTTTTTGCTTTAATTATAGTTTCTCTTACTGTGTGAAAGTCTTTTAGTTCGATGTAGTCACAATTGTTTTGTTTTGCTTTTATTTCCCTCACTCTTGCAGTCAAGTCCCCAAAGACACCATTGAAGTCAAGGTCATGGAGTGCTTTACCTAGGTTTTCTTCTACGTATTTTATGGTTTCAGGTCTTAACATTCATTTTGAGTTAGTTTTTTTTGTGCGGTGGAGTATTTACTTTTCCAAATTGTCTATTCTGAGTATACATTCAAGAATTGGGGAAATCAACACTGGGAAGATTCACAACCTCACTAGGCCCCCTGTGAAACATATTCTCAGTCAATGACTCACTGCTGAAGTACAGTTTCCATGACCAGTCAGTGACAACCAAAGATTGCTATAGTCACACTATCTGATTATCTGGTGCCACTGCCTAAAAATAAGTCATATCTGAGGGTTAGACATTGTATTTGGCATCTGAGATTCTATAGCACTATCATTCCCACTAAAATCAGGATCCATTTTAACTTTGGCACCTCCTACCGTCACCTTCAGTAAGATAGCATCATAAAACATTTTGAGAAATCTGATGCTTCCCTCACCAGCAGATTTTGCAAAGACCTTCTATAGTGAACTATATGCTCACAAAGCCTTTGGAAAGGTTGGGGAGTAAAATCAAGGAAAAAGTGGCTAGCTTTAGTTACTATAGTTTCAGAAGCTGGAGTCGCTATAAAGTTTCTTCAGCCAAAAGGCTTTGCCAGTTTACATCCCCTCATCGTATTTTATTCAGCAAAGAGTAGTGATTTTAAAAAATGTTTTTCAGCTTCTCAAGGGCAACCTGGAATTGTCAGAGAAGCTATTTGGATTCCAGCAAAAGAATAAAGCTCTATGTGAAGAATATGCACAACTTTTGAAGCAGTTCGATGTCTTTGTGAGGTAAACAAAATGTCCCCTCTGGAAGAACACTATATAAAGTACCGAGCTAAGCAGGGCTAAGCTGGATGTTCACTGAAGTCACCTTTCATTCAAGAGGGTCAATAGTTTTCCTTTGTTCCCAGAAGTTCTATCCTTAGAACTTTTCCCAGGGAGATGTGTGGTTCATGTCTTCCCAAGATGGGGAGGGAAAATAGTCTTCCCAAGATGGGGAGGGAAAGAACTTCCTGTTCTTTCTTCCATTTCCTGTTCATCATTCCATCAGGTTCTTCTTCCTCTCTTCTACTCTGAAGTGTATTGAGTTCTATGATATTTAACTTCTTGCTTTTCCCCAAGTACATCTTTCATCCTGGCATTCAGGGCTTTGTTTTCCCTCATGCACTTTCCTTAGCCTGGACCACCCTCTCCCCATTTCAGCTCTTCCACTCAACGTTGTTAAAATCAGAGTCCTCTCCTCCAAGAAGCATTTTTTTAACACTCCAGCCTAGATTGCCTGAGATACTCATTCTTTATTTCCCTATAGCCCTTTGTACATACCTCTCTGAAGTCATTGCATGAGTTGCTTGTCACATTGTAACTCATTTCCTATCTTCCTCACTACTACAAATTTTTCAAGGCTGGGGGCTCCTATCTATCTTATTATCCACAGTCCTTGGTGAATAATAGATGCTCAATAAAAATTTCATTCCTGGACTTCCTGTTCTTTCTTCCATTTCCTGTTCATCATTCCATCAGGTTCTTCTTCCTCTCTTCTACTCTGAAGTGTAGCATAGTAGTTCAGAGTATGGACTCGGGCCATACTTCCTGGTCATAAATCCTGGTTCTACTGGAAAGTAGCTGTGTGACTTTGGGTAAGTTACATAGTCATTGTACCACTGTTAAAATGGGCAATATAAGAGAATCTATGTAAAGTTGTTGTGAAACTTAAATTAGTGGATATATATAAAGCTATTACTTAGAACTCTGTCTAGCACACAACTATGATGGTATCCATTTATTTCTGGTTCTTTCTCTGCCCCCACCTCTTTATCGTCTACTGTATTTCTTCCCTAGGTTGAAGTTTCTTATTTACTAGTGTTCTTATCTATTTTTTTGGTGAAATTAATAACAGTGATTTAAAGTCCATTGTTTACTGCTATACAGCAAAGAAAACTTTCCAGTGTCATTAGTATTCATTGCCTTGATTTGATAGACATGTCACTGAGAAATGTAGAAAACACTGGGAATATGTGTGGTTCTGTTCATACTGCCGACAAATCTAAGAACGGGGATCTCAGTCAACCCATGCAGTGGCAGATCATTTCTGTAAGAAGCTTCTGAATATGTGGCAATACATTTTAAGGTCTGTGGTTCCAGCCTTTTGACTAGTAATTCCACTCCTGGAAATGTATTCCATAAAAATAATTTTCAAATGAAAAAAAAATGGACAAGATTTTTCCAGTGTTATTTTGAATAAAATATCAATCCCTGGGCCAGCGAGTAATTCTTAACTAAATCAGGGCCATGTTGTGAGGGTTGACTTCAACACACCTATTTAACCTGAGCTGTTTTGCTAAGTTCTTGCTTGGCACTGACCACAAGTCAAGGGATGAAATATACTGAGGAAAACAGTGTTGCTTTATAGCAACTGATTCAAAGAGTTCCATGGCAGTTTGCACTAACTTGTTGGCATTGTTTATTATTGATTAATTATTTGCACCTGGTCTAGAAGAGCCCCCTCCTCCCCCCAACCCTGAACCCATGGCTCTGGTCTTAAGACTGGTTATACAGCACAAAAAATGAGAGAAGCAACTCCACCCCCCACCCCCACCCCGGATGCTACCATTGTGGGGAGACCACTTGGGTAAAACCCTCTGCTCTTATTTGTTTTGAGGTATAATGTCATATAATAAATGCACAGATATGGAATGTACAAGTCAAGGAGTTTTAACAAATGTTTATACCCACTTAACCACTACCCCATCAAGACAGACTACTTCCAATACTAGTAATGTTCTCCCCTACCTTGGTGCAGTCACTCTTCCTGCTCCCCCCACCTCCTCCTATGCGGTGGGTCATTTGGTTTCTGCCTCTTCTAGAATTTTTTCTAAATGGAATTGTATGTAATCTTTTGGTTCTGAATTTTTTTATTCAGCATATCCTATGATTTTTAATGTGCACTTATATTCATAAATTATTTATCACTTTATTTTTAATTTTTTGATGGCTAGGAGATGGAATAGTTTTCTGTTATATGTCTATAATCTTTAGAATATTGGATCCTGGGCCCTCCCTGGCGGTGCAGCCTTTAGGACCCAGCACTGCAAGCTGGCCTCAGCAGCTTCAGTACAAGTTCGATCCCTGGTCCTGGAGGTGACCCAGCAGGCCTCTCCTGTCTCACCCACTGCTCCCTTCAGCAATGTACTTTGTCGATCTGCCTTTTCTGCTCCCCACTCTGTCTCTGGTGAATCCTCTCACTGCCCATTCGCCTCTGGCCTGTACCCCAGTTCTGTATGCATAAATAAATAAATCTTTAAAAGACATTGGATCCTAATCCTATGCTTGCACATGCCTGGGCGCCAACATGGATTAATTAAATCAGAATCTGTGGGATTGAATTTAGAGATCAATATTTCTTTTAAAGCATCTACATCTAATTCTAATGTTCATTCAGAGTTGAAAGTTACATCTTTAGAGAAAAAAATGGAAAGAATGTCAAAATTCTAGGCTCATTTCTGTTTTCATTCCCCTGATCCTAGTCCTACCCTTTATAGATAGTGCTTATTTTGTCCACATTTTCCCAGTCAGTCTTCCAAAGAAACACATTCTTGGCCTCTTTGAAATAAAAATAATAGTAAGACCATCTGATTTTGCTTAAACACAAATGAAAACTATTCCTAATTGTTTTAATCTTCCAAATTAATATTCTTTCATTCTGCACATTTTTATTGGTATTGTTACCTCCACAGTAAGACTCAAAATGTTTAAATTATCTTTGTCTTTTCCTTCTAAAATGTCTTGTTTAACTTCTTTTTAATTGCGGTAACTGGTTTACAAATTTATCTGTGTTTAGAGGTAGAAGATCCCCCCCTTCAGATGTTGTCACCCCACCACCAGAGCACCTGGATGCACCATCAGCATCCACCATACCCCCTCCCCACTTTGTTCTTGTCCAGCCCAGTCGCACTTCTGCAGTCAGACTTCTAGAGTTTGGCTAGATCAGGCCCTTTGTTCTGTTCCTCTGTATCCCATATGTAAGTGACCCATCAGTCTTTGTCTCTCTCCTTTTAACTTATTTCCCTGAGCATAATCTCCTCCAGCTCCATCCATGTTGTCACAAATGGTAAGGGTTTATCTTTTTTAATAGCTGAGTAGTATTCTGTCACATATATATGCCATATTTTCCTAACCCACTCATCTGTTTTGGGGCTGTCTCTAAATTTTAAACATGACTGTTAGGCTGCCTTATCAGCTACTAGTCAGCAGAGTCAAAAATAAGCTTAGTAAGTCTGCATTTCATCCGAGAAGCTGGCAGACAGAACTTCTGACCAAACCAGTCAGCAATGGCAGGGGCAGGCTCCAGCTCTCACCAGCTGTACTGAAGCAACACATGGATTCCTCAGATCACACTTAGCAGTACAGGATGATGCCTCAATATCAAGCAGTGGGCGCTAGTTAGGTAAGCCACAACCTTCACTCGCTATAACAATGTGACTGTAAAAGATGGTGGCCAAGAAGACTAGATAACAACATGGGAAAGCTTATGATACAGTAACTGAAAAGGGCAGACGATTACAATTTTAATATGGACAATAATTAAGCAAATGATGCTTATAAAAAGACTGGAAGTAAACGCAACACTATCACATGATCATATTAGGCATGGATTTCCCCCACATTTTCTATGACCTATTATCTTATTTTAAAAAATAAATTTTTGTTTTTATTAGTCCAAATAATTAGTCCAGAAAAAGAGACAGCAGCTATTTTTCATGGGAAGCTTGGAGACTGGGCTTTAATATTCCAGGACAAGATGGTTAAAAGATATTCTACAAATACACTCAAATTATGTCAAAACACCAGAGTAACTCCGAACACCTAGGAAACCCAGAGGCTAACAGGTAGTTTTACATAGCACACTGCCAGTGCTGTGCCCCTGAAGCTGTGAACCGAGGATGTTGATGCACAGGGATATTTTTCATCTGTAAAAAGGAAAATGAGACCATTTATGAGATGGGGCTATCACCCTGTAAAATAGCTAGTCACAGAAGGGGCAATTAAGAATATAAGCTACAAAATCATGTGCTTGATATTATGTTTAGATTACTGCAAGGGCCACAGAACTGAACAGGCCTGAGGCAATTCTATGAACCCAGGTATCAGGACCAAGTCTGTTAATTAAGATGTAGATTGAGTCTGTGGCAAAGGCCTGAATAAAAGTGGCTTAAAATGGGTGAGTCTTCTCTCTGATCCAGCAGGGTAGACATTACGATTTCACAGTGGTTACCATGAGTCAACATGTCATAAGCCTAGGCTCCTATCAACTTACTGTGTCACTTTAGCATCTTTTTTAAAAAGATTTATTTATTTACTTATTTATTTATCTTGTGTAGAAGAAACAGAATGTAGAAGAACTGGGGTATAGGCCAGAGGTATGGGTATGAGATGACTCATGAGAGATAGAGTGGGGAGCAGAAAAGGCAGATCTACTGAAATCCACTGCTGAGGGAAGCAGTGGGCAGGATCAGAGAGGTCTGCTGCACAATTTGTGTCACCTCCCTGGCTGGGATCGAGCTCATGCTGCAGTGGATAACACTGTGTCTTTAACCCCTGAACCACCAAGGAGGCACCAAGAAAAATAATCATTTAAGGGGAAAATATGCAACATTATTTTTGATGTACAGTCAGCAACTAGGAGAGGGGAGGAGTTTTGCAAAACCAAGACATCATTTATAAGAACATTAGACTCTCTTCATTAGAACATTAGTATCTGTTCATGATAGTTTGACTAGAACTTGCATCTAGATAAATCTGTTTTTCTCTTCCCCTCCTGTTTAGTTCCTAGTTATAGTACAAAACACAACATCTTATTTGGGGAAATCAGGTATATCAAGTTTGCCTGATTTTGCAGGTATTATAGCCTTAGGGGTACACTGAGGAGAGCACAGTCTCTGAGGTCAGGTTTTCCTCTGCAGAAGTAACCCCCCTCTGTGTTGGGAGGCCGGAAGAACTCAGGTTGGTGATTCATGAGGTGGATGAAACACAGAACTCAGAGGGGCTGTTGCATTTGTGGTTTATTACACCCAAAAGACCAAAATTAGCAAAGGAAAAAGGCACAGTGTGGGAGAAACAAGTGAACCTCCAGTTGGCCTCTCCCCAGATAGTGGGTGGACAGCACTCATTTCTCCCAACAGCCATGTGTGACAACATGTATGAAGTATTCCCAAACAGGAAAACGCACCTGAGCCTTGATGTCCAAGGATTTTATTAGGAATCTGTCACGTAGACATGGAGTGCCCCAGAGATTGACCTTACCAGTCTTTCTTCTCTCCAGATGTCAAACTGAGGCAAGGTAGCCCAGGGCCCTTGGTGAACAAAAACACATTCACCACATAACACATTGTTAGCATAAACTATCTGGTGTTACCCAAGGTCCCAGGTACACACAGACATTCTTATCAGGCAGACTATTCCAAGGTCTAGAGGTCATCCTCCAAGAAGGGTCAAGGGCCAGTCCCTTCTTTGGAATGTGAAGGAAGAGGACATCCAGTAGGTTGGCCTTTACTGCACAGTCTCCAACTCCTGACTCAGAGTGAGCAGATAGCCTTCACAAGTTTGCATTAAAATCAGAGCTTTGTGAAAAGCTCAAAACATACATTAATTCCCTTCAGTTACAGGAGCTTCCTCCAGTTTGAGAGATAGCACCCCAGGTAGGGCCAGACATTTGTTATCTGCAGCTGTCATCTGTCACCAGCAACACAGGCACGAATGACTGTACATGCTTACAATGACAAAGGGCAGATTGCTCATTCCTTAAACACTTTGTTTCAGTTAAAAAAGCATCCAAAGGTAACCTGGACCTACTTAAATAAAGACATCATAAAAGTTTTAACTTCTCGGCCCTCCCTGGTGGTGCAGTGGGTTAAAGCACAGCACTGAGAAGCTAAAGCCATTTCCGCATGAGTTCGATTCCCGCCTGCCCCGGAGGAGATCCACATGGCGCAGCAAACCTCTCCTGAC